GTGCACACACACACACACACACACACACACACACACTCCGCACTCCTTGTGCACTCACACATGGGGGTGAGAGGCAAGTGGGAGGGTGTTTGGCAGCAGGGGAGCAGCCCGAGGCCTGGTTCTCTCCAGCAGGCAGAGGGCCTGGTCTGCTCAGCGTTGCCTCCCTGCACCCGGAGGCCAGCAGCCTCCCCGCACTGCCCCCCTCTGGGCCCCCAGTTCTCACCTGGTCTGACTCCAGCAAGCACAGGCAGCGGGTGGTGAGTGAAAGCCATGCGCGGGGAGCTGCCCTGAGAGGAGAGGGCACTGCAGAAGTCCAGCTTTCCTGACTTCTTTAGAGAAGCCGGGCCTGGGGGGAGGAAGCAGCAACACGGGCAGGTTTAGGCAGGCTGGGGTGGGTGAGGAGGGCAGGAAGCCAGCAGCTCTTTCTGTCCTTGGAGCCCCTGCCCTTTCCTCCTTGTGCACCTCTGGCCCCTGTGCCTTAGCTAGGCGCCTTCTAGGCCATGTGCTGGCCAGCCATGACACTTCTGCCAAGAGAGAAACCCTGACACCCTGGGTCCTGGGCAGGGGACTAGCAAGGGGCCCTTCCTGCCCTGACAAGCAACTAAGGAAACAGCGGGAGACGCAGGGCCAGCACTGTGGAAGGGTAAGGAGGAGCCCCAGGAAACCAGCTTGTGCCAGGAGTGGCAGGCAATAAAGGGCTGTGGGGACAGCCCAAGAGGTACAGGAGACTGTGCCAAGGTGGCCTAGACCTTGCCAGGTACTCTGGTGGGAAGAAACTGGCACTCCCTTTCAGGATGGACAGCCCAACCAGAGGCCCTCAGGAGGGAGGGAGACCATATCCAACAGAACAGCAGGGACGGGGCTGGAGGGACAGGGCAGGAAGGCTGGGTGGGCCCTGGGTACAGAGCCAGTGGAAAGGACTTCGCTGGCCAGGGGGCTCAAGGCTAGTCTCTGCTTTGCTCCTGGTGCCAGAGGCAAGGATGCCACTCAAGGAGATGGGCATGGAGAAGGCCCTGCTTGAGCTCTCCCTCATGGGTTCGGGGCTGCCAGCCACTGACGTTGCTGCCCAGTGAGCATGGCATGCAAAGGACACTGGACAGAGCAGGGATCCCAGGGGCACATTCGCCTGGGGAGCCTTGAGGCTGTGCCCAGGCTGGGAGGGGGCACAGGGTGCAGAGGCCAATCTCTAAAGCGGCTGTCTCTGAGGGACAAACAGGGGTTTGGGTGGGAGCTGGAGGGTAGGCTGGGAGGGCGCACAGGGAGCAGAGGCCAATCTCTAAAGCGGCTGTCTCTGAGGGACAAACAGGGGTTTGGGTGGGAGCTGGAGGGGCTGCAGAGAGAGGAAGGAGAGCAAGAGCATCTTAACCGCAGAGGGAGAGGCGGGGGAAGGGCACACTCCCAGCCGCCAACAGAGGTGTTATCTGGCGGCAGCTGCATGCCACCTGATAGCTGGCATGGTGGGGAGGGGGAGCGCCCCACCAGCTGTGCACAGCTGTCCCTGCTGCCGCAGAGCGCCTCTCCAGCTGTTCCCAGTCCTGCAGCTGGGCTGCTTAATTGGCGATTTGTTGCAGCCCAGGGAAATGACAAGGTGTGGGGGGGTGCGGGAGGGTGTTGAGGGTGCCGAGCATGGTGGGATGCGGGGAGAAGCAGAAACAGCAGGCACAAGAGCAGACAGCTGAGAAGGAAGAACTGGGAACAGCAGGCTCCAGGAAAGAGGCCTTTGTGGACTGGCCCGAGGCCTCCTCCAGAAGCCAGTGGCACCCCAGTGGCAGCCCTTGCAGAAGGGGGCACCCAGCTGAGGCCCTGGCCAGGACCTGTGCTGGCAGAGGCATCTCTCAGGCCTTTTCAGCACGCTCTCTACCTGCCTGAGGTTCATGCAGGGCCCTTCCCACAGAGGTGTCCAGGGTCTGCAGCCATGAGCCCCGGCCCTACCAGGTAAGGCCAAGGTGCCATCGGGTCAGAGCCGAAGGCAGAAAACGACACCCCATGCATAGCCATGTGGGCAGCTCTGTACCCTCAGGCCCCAAGATCTACACGCCCCCAAGGTTGTGCCTCTAGTGTGTCAGGCAGGGGCCCTTCCCTGCAGATAGCTGCCTCACACACGTGTGCACACACACACACATACATGGGCACACTCACTGTCTTCCTCAGGGGCTCTCGACTGGGTCCCTCCCCTTGGTCAGCAACGGGTAGGCTCAGCAGGAAGGGGCTGCTTAGAGGGGCCTGGAAGGTCTGAACTGGCTTCCTCTAGATCTCTAGAACCTCTGCCCTTTGCTAGCTCCTGGCTTGGTCTGACCTGTTCCTCATGCGTGCTGAGCCTCCTGCAAACCTGTACTTTTTTTTTTTGGTGCCGGAGATTGAACTCAGGCCCTTTCACTTTTGAAGCAGTTGGCAGCACCACTGAACCAAATCCCCGGTCCCAAACCTGTACTCTTGAAGGTGGCTTTTCTCCGCCAGGATAGTTCTGTCTGCTGAGCAGTGCTCCACAGTGTTGGGAGGCATCTCTGGTGGTCCAGGTAAGGAAGGGGTGCATGTCTAGTACTGGCATTTGTAGGTGGGACACCTTACGGAGCGCAGGGTTGTCCCCACCATAAAGAATGGCAAGGCCTCAAATGCCACAGTGCCCAGGCCGAGGAAAGAAAACTAAATTACCAGGACCCAAGGACACAAGAAAAGGAGGCTGAGGCAGAGTGAAGAGGAGGCAACAGCCAATGGACAGTGCTCCCCATGGGCCCTCCGTGCACCCGCCACCTCAGCCTAGGAGGCCTCCTCAGCAAGGAAAGGCCCCAAGGAGCACGTACCTGCGTCCACGTCATTAGGCCACCCGCTGGACTGGCTGCTGCCAGCCGCTGGAGAGCGGCCTGTCCCAGGATAGAACACGTCATCGACAGGGCTCTCCATCTCACTGTCATCGATGGACTTGGGGCGCTTGGTGGTGCTGGTGAAGGAGCAGAAGGTCAGATGGGCCGAGGCCCAGGCTGAGGAGCCGCACATACATGGACAGCCTTCCGTGGGGAGCAGGTAGAATCACACAGCTGCATCTGGGAACCACCAGAGGCCAATTCCAAGACAACCCCGTCCCCCTCAGGTGTAACCTGCTGGCTCCTCCTTGAGGCCCTCGTGGTCCACAGAGGGGCTGCAGAGAAGTGGGCAACAACACCCTCTCCTACTAATTCCCTCCCACTAATTCCTATCAGCCATAAAACTTGGTCATCAAGACAGACTATTTTAGTGAGGGGTGGGCATGGTGGTGCATGCCTGTAATCCCAGCAGCTCAGGAGGCTGAGGCAAGAAGACCATAAGTTCAAGGACAATCTAAGCAAATTAGCAAGACCCTGTCTGAAAATAAAATAAAAACAAGTGCTTGCCTCGTATTCACAAGACCCTGGGTTCAATCTACAGCAAAACAATAATTTAAAAAGAGAGAGAGAATATTTTAATGTAAAATTTTAAAAAACCAAAACAAATACAAAAAAAAAAAAACAAACACCTCGTAATGAATAAAAACACCCCAATTTTTAAAAGGCCAGGACTCAATCCTCTGCTGCAGGACTGGCCCCTAGGCCAGCTGTCTCTACCTCCCAGCCTCTTCTCTCCATGCCACAGCCACTGCTGCAGGAAGGAGCTTTCCAGAACACCTATGCCCAGGATACCCTGCTTCAAACACTGTCAAGGTTCCCAGCATTGTGTCCCAGATCTCCCTGCTAAGACTCTCTGTGAGAGAGCCCCACCCCACATCCAGTTCTTATCATGAGGGAGTCTGCCTGGAACACCTGCCCCAGGCTGTGCCAGTCCCCATGTCTTGGGGCTCAAACACCATCTCTCTAAAAGCAGGGCCTTGGATCCCCACTTCTAGGCACAAGCATGCTCCCTGGGTTTGTGTCCCCAAGGTCAAGTGCTATGAGACAGCACAAGACAGCACCAAGCAGGAAGCTCAGGGGGCAGCTGAGCAGCAGGCAAAGAGGAGGTGTGGGGGCTCACCTGGTGGAAGGAGGGGAGGTGATGGACCGCCGCCCCAGGGTCACCTGGTTTATGTTGTAGTAGCTGGGACTCTCCAGGTCCGCCAGTGAGAAGTTGGGCCCTGATGCTGTCGCAACAGGGGCTGGGAAGAGGAGAGGTTGATAAGGTCTAGAAGGGACCAAAAGTCCCACAGGGCCCATGTGGCAGCCGTGAGAAGCTCCCCAGGAGCCAGGGGAGATGGCAGGGGGGCCAGAAGGTGCATTGTCTGGGCCACTAAGGGGCACATGACTCTTTTTCCCATTGGCGCATCCGAGTAGAAATAGAGCTCTCTGGATGGCTCTGCCCCACCACTTGGGGCCCAGGAAGGTCTTCTGCCCTGTCCCCTGCTCCAAGGCCTCATCAGCATGGCCCCAGGAGGTCCAAATCCTACCTCCTCACTCCAGTCCCAGCCCCCAGCCCAGAAGAAAAGACTCACTTTGTGATACTCTCACCAGCTCCGTCACGTTCCAGACCCCGGAAGTCACAAAACAGTCCTGGAAACTGAGGTGCCCTAGAAAGGAAAGAGGGCTCATGAGGAGAGGCTAAGCTGAAGGCTGCCTGCTGCTTCCCCATGCTCTCCCCTGCTCTGACCCAAAGAGGGATGCAGGGCAGGGGACTTGGAAGCAGGTGGAGTGGGGTGGGGGAGGAGGGGCACTGACCATTGGGCAGTGGTTTGATGTCCGCATCTCCTTGCTGGTTTGAACTATCTGATTGTCCGGATTCTGCGGGAGACAAAAAGAGGACAATGGTCAGGAGTGAAGCATGGTACCAACACTGGCCAAGCAGCTTCCCCTTGGCCCTGTGCAGAAAGGTGGGTGTCCCAACCTACAGACCCTTACCCAGCTCCCTCCAGGCCAGAGCCAGCTGGGGCAACCAGAACAGTGGCAGGACAATCTTCATAGGCCCAGGCAGGTTTCAGCCTCTGCCCTATGCACTGCAGGGCATATGCCAGTATCCCTGGTCGCCACCCATGAGATGCCAGTAGCACCCCAGCTGTGACAGCCCAACCGCCTCCAGACACTCCTTTCCTGGCTCACTGTGTCCTGAGGAACAATTGCCTAAAAGTGAGCAGCAATGGCCAAGAGTCAGAAGCAAAGAATGCGCTCAGGAGAGAGCCCAGGGACTGCACTGTCCACAACTGGGTGGAACCAAGGCTCTCCCTCCCGACCCAACTCAAGCCCCAAGAGGGGCATTTCCATCCCTAACTCTATCACTTAAAGCCATGCCGTGGGCCTGTGCCTCCCCCACCTCACCTATCTGCCAGCAGGCAGTGCCTGGCAACCCAGAGGGGGGGTATGCCTGCGGCCACCCCGCCCTGTGCCAGCCTGTCTGGGCTGTCTCATGCCCCAGTGCCACAGCTGCTTGGAGGGAGCCCCAGACAAGGGCCCATTGTGCAGTGGGAGCTCTTGAAGGCTGGGGGCAGGGAGGAGTGTGTGTGTGAATATTTTGCTGAGCTTGGGAAAGCCCCCCACCCCCGCCCCAGGTCCTTCGAGCTCTGTGTGCCAGGGGCATGACGGGGACCTCCAGAATGCCTGCCCAGGCACGACAGCTGGTGGGGGAGTCACGGTGGGCTGTGTGGCAGGGGAGGGAGGCCTCGGTATAGAATCACTGCTCAAAGGGCAGGGAGGTGGCATCTGAGTACCATGCCTTGGTGTGGGCCAGGGCCTGGCCCAGCCACTTGAAAGCCCCTGGGCAGCCCAGCCTCCGGCATCTCCCTAGAGCCCCTACTCCAGGGAAGGATGGGTGTGGAGCAAGCTGGCACAACAGCAGCCCAGCTGGCACCCGCCACTCTAAGAGCGAAGGCCCTGCCATGTCTGGGGTTGAGGTTTGCAGTCCGGGCCAACACCTGGCCGCCTGCCTCCACGTGCAGGGTAGAAAAGGGTGACTTTTTGGGGACCATCTCCCCATCCTTTACCTTATTCAAATAGTTACATCCCAGAAAAAACACAATATATCTTGTAACAAGTCAAGAAAAGAGAGGCTTATGAAAAAAGTAGTTTGGGAGCCCTCTTCCAAATACCTCTCACCAGGGACTGGGAAACTGGTCCCACCCCCATCTCCTTGCTGGTGGCATTTCCTGCTATAGACGGAGCCCCAGGACACCCTGAACCTCCTCTTCCTCCTCGCAGGCTCTGGCAGGACTGTGCATGGCAGGACGAGGGCCTCTCGGGCCATCACAACTGGCCCTTTCCTGGCTCTGTAGGTCTGATGCAAGCCCCAGCCCACCCAG